CAAAAAAAATGGGGATGGAAACAAGAGAGGATGGGATGGGGATGGAAAATGGGAATTGGATCCCAAAAAATGGGGATGGGAAACGGGGGAGGGATGGGATGGGGATGGAAAATGGGAATTGGATCCCAAAAAATGGGGATGGGAAATGGGGAAAGGTTTGGGATGGGGGTGGAAAATGGGAATTGGGATCCCGGAAAACGGGGAGGGGAAGCAGGGTTGGTACTGGTTATACTGGGGTTACACTGGGGGCTGTACTGGTTACACTGGGGTTATACTGGGGTTATACTGGGGTTACACTGGGGTTATACTGGGGCTGTACTGGTTATACTGGGGCTGTACTGGTTATACTGGGGCTGCACTGGTTATACTGGGGCTGCACTGGTTATACTGGGGCTGCACTGGTGGCACTGGGGGTGACTGGCACACAGGAATCCCAGGATCAGGGCAGGGATCGGGAACAGCTCTGGGGGATCCTGGGAGGATCCCCTGGGAACGGGATCCAGAATTCCCTGAGAATGGGATCCAGGAGGATTCCCTGGGAATGGGATCCAGGAGGATTCCCTGGGAACGGGATCCAGGAGGATTCCATGAGAACGGAATCCAGGAGGATTCCCTGGGAACAGGATCCAGGAGGATTCCCTGGGAACGGGATCCAGGAGGATTCCCTGAGAACGCGATCCGGGAGAATTTCCTTGGAAAGGATCCTCGGAGAATTCCCCAGGAAGGGATCCAGGAGGATTTCCTGGGAAAGGATCCCAGGAGGATTCCCTGGGAACGGAATCCAGGAGGATTCCCTGGGAACGGATCCAGAATTCCCTGAGAAAGGGGTCCGGGAGGATTCCCTGGGAACGGGATCCAGAATTCCCTGAGAACGGGATCCAGAATTCCCTGGGAACGGGATCCGGGAGGATCCCCTGGGAACAGGATCCAGGAGGATTCCCTAAGAACAGGATCTGGAAGAATACCTTGGGAACGGGATCCAGGAGGATTCCCTGGGAAGAGATCCCTGGAGAATTTCCAGGAAAGGATCCTGGGAGGATTCCCTGGGAATGGGATCCAGGAGGATTCCCTGGGAACGGGATCCTGGATGGATTCCGCGGGAAGGGATCCCGGAAGGATTCCAGAATTCCCAGTTCCAGGTTTGATCCCATCTCCTTTCCCTCCCGCAGAGCAAAGACCGGGACAGGAAGACGGGACAGCTCCGGAGCTAGGCCGGGAATTCCAGCCGGGAATTCCAGCCGGGAATCCCAGCCAGAGCAGGGAAAGCCACGCTGGCGGATTCCCGGATCCAGGGACGTTTTCCTGCCGGATCCCGCGGGAAGAGCGGCACCGACATTCCAGCGGATCCCAAGGGACACAGAGGATGTGCCGGAATTCCGGGATATCCAGGGAATGCACCCACAGAGCCCCAGGGACGGCGGAGCCGCTCCGGGAACCCTCGGGAATTCCTGCCCTGGGATTCCGGATCACGGAACACTTGGATCACTCGGATCCTCAGGAATCCCTGTCCCAGGATTCTGGGTCACAGAGCTCTGGGATCTGCTCTGGGAATCCTCGGGAATTCCTGCCCTGGGATTCTGGATCACGGAACACTTGGATCTCTGGGATCCGCTCTGGAAATCCTCAGGAATTCCTGCCCTGGGATTTTAGATCACAGAACACTTGGATCACTCGGATCCTCAGGAATTCCTGTCCCAGGATTCTGGATCACAGAACACTTGGATCACTCAGATCCTCAGGAATTCCTGTCCCAGGATTTTGGATCACGGAACACTTGGATCACTCGGATCCTCAGGAATTCCTGTCCTGGGATTTTAGATCACAGAACACTTGGATCACTCAGATCCTCAGGAATCCCCGTCCCGGGATTCTGGATCATGGAACACTTGGATCACTCAGATCCTCAGGAATTCCTGTCCTGGGATTTTAGATCACAGAACACTTGGATCACTC